CAGCAGCCATTTTCAACACTGAATCATAACCCGACGTGCTCTCTCTCAAGTGATTGTAAAAGATCGCAGGGATACTATTTTGAAGATGAAAAGGGACCATCTCCCAGCTGCCCTGGACAACATTCATCACTCAATCAACATTACAGAAAAGACAGATTATGCAGCAGCATCACTTGGTTGTTAGTGCAAGCTTGTTATGTGAAAGCTAGCTACTGTATACCCTACATTAGGACAGTGACCTCAAAGTACTTTGTTCACTGTAAAATGTTTTTGGGCATCCTGTAGTCGTAAAGACTTAAATCTTGAATTTCTTTCTACTGTGTTGCCCATCTTCTGCAGGAGGAATGGATCCTTTTCATTTTAATTTGACAGAAATTTGCTGGAATTTTTTTTTGTTTTTGTGTTGACTTTGGGATCTGAATCCTTACAAAGAGCCTTTCAGACTGTGGTCAGTGCAATGGCATTCCTGGGAACCCACTTCCTGACAAAGCACTGAGCCATGTGGAACATATTTTCGACCTTACGTCGAGAATTACCATATTTCTCCTACTAGCCAGAGGCCTTCACCCTGTGCAAACACCTATCAGATTTTTTGAGATGCAAGCCAAGAGAACTGTGGACACAGACTGAATGGAGGGCCCTGAGGTGATAGGTATTACCTTCAAGAAAGGATTTGCATTTATATTGCGCCTTTTACAACTACCCAGACACAACAAAGCGCTTTACAGTCAGTACAGCGTTTTAACTGAAGAACAGTCCATGCTGTAATCTTGGAGACAGGGTGGCCGTTTGAACAATGCAACTTCCCAGAAACAGCAATATGATAATGAATGAATAATCTATTTTCGTGGTTTTGTTTGAAGAATAAATATTGAATAACCGCACACCCCGCCCCAACCCCGCCACTCTTGTACATGAAAACAAACCGTTTAGGAAAATTCACAGGTGGCACAGTGGTTAGCACGGCTACCTCTCAGCGCTGGGGACCTGGGTTTGATTCTAGCCTCGGGTGACTGTCTGTGTGGAGTTTGCACATTCTCCCTGTGTCTGTGTGGGTTTCCTCTGGGTGCTCTGGTTTCCTCCCACAATCCAAAGGTGTGCACATTAGGTGGATTGGCCATGGGTAAGGGGGGTGATGGGATGCTCTTCAGACAGTTGGTATGGGTTGAATGGCCTGCTTCCGCACTCTAGGGATCTGACAATAATTCTACAAGTAGGCCACTCGGCCCCTTAAGCATGCTGTGACATTCAATATATCATGTCTGATGGTTGCTCCACATTCCTGCCTGTCTTTGATAATCTTGCCACCCCTTGCTTATTAAGAATCTTTCCATCTGTACCTTAGACATATTCAAAGACTCTATTTCCACTCCTCTCAACTAAGACCGTTCCAAAGACTCATGATGCTCTGTGTGGAAAAGAGTTCTCCTTATCTCTGCTTTAAATGGGCGACCTCTTATTTTTAAACAGCAACTCCCTAGCTCTAGTTTCTTCCACAAAAGGAAACATCCTCAACACGTACATTCTCTCAAGGCTCCTGAGGATCAATCAAGTCCCCTCTTATTCTTGTAAACCCCAGCTCCAGGGCCTCTGGGTTTATCCAAAAGATGGCCCCTTCAACAGGGCAGCACTCCATCAGCACAACAGCAGTACTCCAGCTTGGTTTTTGTGCTCAAGCTTGAGCCCAGACCCTAGCTTGTGAGTCAGAGTGATGCATGCTAACCCAGGGCCTGGGGACACTGAGTGTGCAGGGTGGGTACAACAGAGCTTAATAACCAGGTCTCCAAGTGGGTCCACTGTTCCTTGGGGTGGGGACAGATTGTGGGTCAGTGCCAGGGCCCCATGATTTCTGTCCTTGCCCCTCATTGTTAACAATTGAGCCACAGATAGTTGGCTTCAAGCAGCATTGATGAGTGGGCAAAAACATAGGTTTGGCTCAAAAGAAGTATTTTATAAATTTGATAAAATAAACAAAAGACATAAGATATTTCATCATCCCTGAAAGTCCCCAAAGTGCTTTAACACTGATGAAGTAATATAAGAAATATGGAAGACTTTTTGCATGCAGCAAGCTCCCACAATAACATGCAAACGAACAGCTAACCATTGAGGAGACATGACTGTGTAATGGTCATGCTGAAGGACTGGTAAATCAGAAGCCCAGTACAGCATTTCAAAGGAAAACCACAGATGAGAATTAAACCTCAATCTGGAATATAAATTTAGTCTCAAGTATGCTGATCATAAAATTATCATTGATTATCATCACTAATGTCTCTTAGGGAAGGAAATTTGCCATCCTTACATGTTCTGGCCTACATGTGACTCCAGACCCACTGCAATATGGTTGACTCTTAACTGCCCTCTGAAACGGCTGAGGGAGCCACTCAATTCAAGGACATTTTATGATCAACAATGTTTTCTTGCCTTGCCAGCGATGCCCAGATCCCAGGAAAGAATGTTTTGTAATCTGCCCTTTGGTCATGTGGGTTCAATATCAGAAGAGTCCTTATAATCAATAACTGAATTGAATTGAACTGGGTTCTGAGGAAGGCATTTAACAGACACTTCTGCTCTTTCTGTTAGATGTAAAAGATTGAAGGATCCTCAGCCCTTTATTGTTTAATGTTTAACATTTTGACTTCATTTCTTTATTCTTCAGCTTTGTACCAAGAATCTATACCTAGGTACCTTTGTACCTAAGGTGGCATCATAAGTGGTGACTTATAAACTTTTCACTGTACTCATGTGAGTACAGGTGACAATAAACCTAAACAAAAACAGAAATTGCTGGTAAAGTTCAGCAGGTTTGGCAGCATCTGTGGAGAGAAATCAGGAGTTAATGTTTTGGGTCCAGTGACACTTCCTTACAACCCAATTCAATTCAATTCAATTATATATTGAGTCCAATGTGACACTTCTTCGAAGCTGAAACAGACTGGGAAGTGACAGAGAGGGAAGAGGAGCAAGTGGAACAGATGGCGAGGGTGACAAAGGGAGTGTTAATTATGGCAGCAGAGGAGTGATATCAATGAAAAACAGCTAAGTGCTAAGTGTTCTTGTGGAAACTGGTTCAGCTTTGCTAAAAACAAACTCATGCAACCAAGACATGGGAGTGGCTTGGAGGGGGGTGAGATGTGAGAGATATAATCACAAAGTAGGGCTAGGATGGTGCTCTTAAATTGATGAACTGTATGTTCAGTTCTGAAGATTACACAAAAGAATGTTGATATTTCTTCACAGAATCCCTACAGTGTGGAAACAGGCCCTTCAGCCCAACAAGCCCACACCAACCCTCAGAGCTTCCCACCCAGACCCATCCCCCACCTAATCTGCACATCCCTGAACACTATGGGACAATTTAGCATGGCCAATCCATCTTTGGACCGTGGGAGGAAACTGGAGCAAACCCACGCAAACACAGGAAGAATGTACAAACTTCACACAGACAGTCACCCGATGGTGGAATCAAACCCAGGTCCCTGGCGCTGTGAAGTAGCAGTGCTAACCACTGAGCCACCCTTTGGCTTGCATTGAGCTTTGCTGGAACAATGCAGCAAAGAAATATTAGCATGCCAGTGTGATATTGTTGTTCATAGGACATGTGTTTCACTGGCTGGGTCAGCATTAATTACCTGTCCCGAATTGCCCAGGAGAATGTGATAGTGCATTGCTGTCTTGAACTGGCGCGGTCTGTGATCGCACAGACTCGCAGAGTATAGCTAAGAAAGGAGTTCCAGGATTTTGACACCCCAGCTCTCAAGAACAAGTGATCCAGTCCCAAGCCTGGACGATGTGTGGCTTGGAGGGGTTTGGAAAGTGCTGCAGAAAGAGACATGGGGAGTTACTGCAGTAGATGCTAAACACTGCTGCTACTGGGTGTCAGTGGTGAAAGGAGTGAATGTTTAAGGTGCTGGAGGGGTGCCAATGAATTGGGTTGATTGCAAAGTAATTCTAAGGCAGTACTCTGAAAATCAGGAGGCAATGGCTAAGCAGTTAGACTTGAAGTGTTTGGCAAGGAGTATGAGACAGGGGTTAAAATTAACCTGACTCTTGATAGTCATGGCTGTGCTAGCAAACTGTGAAAAGAACCACGATCTTATTGAATGACAGAAAAGGCTAGAGGGGCCCAATGGCCTAGATGTTACAAATAAAGGTACAGAAATTCTGAGCCAGATATTTACAAAATTATCATTTTCCCATGACAATGTTTTCCTGATAAACATAAGACGTAGGAGAGTCATAGGGTCATTAAACGTGGAAGCAGACCCTTCATCCAAACAGTCCATGCTGAACCTAATCCCAAACTAAACTAGCCCCACCTGCCTGCTCCTGGCCCATATCCCTCCATACCTTTCCTATTCACACACTTACCTGAGGGTCTTTTAAATGTTGTCACTGTGCCTGCATGCACCACTTCCTCACCTTCAGGCCTTCGAGCTCTGTCTGCTATTCAATCAGCTCATGGCTGACCTCATGACCCTCAATTCATTATCCTGCTTTTACGCCATATCCTTTGAATCTGTCTCTCTCTCTCTCAGCCTTGAATATACTTAATGACCCAGCCTTGACTGCCCTCTGTGGTAAAGAATTCCCCAGATTCACTACCTCTGAGAGAAGAAATTCCTTCTCGTCTCTGTCTTAAGTAGGTGATCCTTTGTTCTGAGATTGTGATTAATTATGACAGAAAAACTAAATGAATCTAGAACAGGGGTGGGGTAGTATCAAGAAACACAGTCTGTTGACCACACTTGGTCAGAAATAGTTAACAGAATTTTCACAATAACTTCCAGAGCTCCAAATTCCAGAGGATTTTGTCAGAGGTTAGAGCTCTGATAAAAATGTACAAACAACTCTCCTGCCTCAAGGCCAGTGACCTTGTGGTTCAGTGGATAATTAATTGGGTTAAGAGATATTTCAAGATACAATGTTCTTATTAATTATTCACAGTTTTTGAAGTATCGTGGACACTTTCATCTTTGAACCAGTCGCCGTTTCTCTGTTTTGGCGCAAGCTGCTTTCATTTCAGGGTTTAGGGTGAAAATGCGTCAAGGAAATGATAATTTTTTTTTAAAAAAACACAGAGTCGACCAGGCCAAATGTGCTTGAACAAATATTTGGCTCACCAGAATGGGCAGAGGCTGTGTCGTCGAATCTGGTCAAGACCAAGTAAGCTGAGTTTTGACCAATGAGGAAATCAAGAATCATTGGGGTGGGGCAGAAAGGTGCAGTCAAGGCTCCCATCGGATGGCTGAGGAGGCTAGAGAGGCCAAATGGCCTACTTCTAACTCATCGGTATGTGTACCTTCATGTGCTATTTCCCATGGATTTGTCAATGTTTAGCTTTCAAGTGTTTATCCATCTCCCCTTTGAAAGTTATTATTGGATCTGCTGCCATTGTTCATTCAGGCAGCACATCCTGGACCGTAACAACTCGCTGTAATAAATTAATGTTTCTCTCATGTCGCCTCTTAACGATCACCTTCAAACTGTATCCTCCTCCTATCAACATTTGTACGAACCTTAGAACTAGAAGCAAGAGCCTGCTCTACCATTTAGTACCATCATGGGCAAGCTCATCTAAGCCTTAACTCCACTTTCCTGCTTCCTCTCCAGAACCCTTCAACCTATTACTAATTAAATATCTGTCACTCTCCCCCTTAAACTTATTCTATATTCTGGCATCCACCACACTCCGAGCAAGTAAATTTCACAGATTCCTGACACTTTGAGAGAAGTAATTCCTCCTCTGTTTTTCGATCCGATCTCTGTTTTTACCATGCCCACTACCCCCCCGGCGGTGCAGTTGATGGGAACTATTTCTCTTTATTGATGCCATCAAAATTGTTCATGAATTTGAACATCCCCAGCAAATCTTCTGTTTACTTTCGGGAGAACAACTCCAAATTCTTTCGACTCTCCTGTGATATCAAAATCCTTACCGCCATCCTGGGTATCCTCTCAGATGACCACTCCTGGTACCTTGTGGTATTTGCCACCTCTATCAGTCTGTGGTACTGCGTGAGGGTTGTTTGAGGTAGTTGATCCCGTTGGCTTGCAATCCTTTCACTGGTAAATGGCTCAGCCTCATCCCCCTCCTCAATACGTTCATGATTATACAAAGGTGCAAGAGATGTGCAGCAGAGTAACCATTTCTGAAGAAGGGTCTAGGCCCGAAACGTCAGCTTTCCTGCTCCTCTGATGCTGCTTGGCCTGCTGTGTTCATCCAGCTCTACACCTTGTTATCTCAGTATTCACATCCTAATGGCTGAAAAAGCACAACATTATTTTCCAAGAATACAAATTATCATCAACTAAACTCAATAAATTGTGCTTTCTCAATGGACACACATTTTAAATATGTTGCTTTTTGGTTCAGTAAAAGTCAGTGTTGAAGTTGCATTCATAATGTGCCGCACCAGTCTTTGGATTGAGAATCAGGCATTCTGGCATGAGATCCTGATGGAGACAGACATGTCATCTCTGGCTCCTGCTGGTTCCAAGTATTTATGCCTAACTAGTCCACACAACTTGTACCTATTGTTATCATACAATAAACTTCCTCTTGTCATGTAAGACAAGTGCCTCTTCTTGTTAAGACTCACCAGTACTCTATCCTCTACCACTGATATTTCGATAGGCCCTCAGACTCAGGAGCATTTGAATTAAGAGGCTGTTTTGGCATAGTGGTAGTGTCCCTACTGCTAAGTCAGGAGCCTGGGCTGCAATCCCACCTGTACCAGAGACATGTTGTAACCTCTCCAAAGAGGTTAATTCAGCAAAATATCAAGAAAGGAGGCTTAGGATACTTGTGGTACAGTGGTAGTGTCCCTAACTTTGGGTAAGAAGGTTCAGGTTCACATCCCTCCAGCCCTGGACATGTCATAACATATCCAAGACAACAAGGTGTAGGGCTGGATGAACACAGCAGGCCAAGCAGCATCATAGGAGCAGAGAGGCTGACATTTCGGGCCTAGACCCTTCATCAGAAAAGCTTCATAACATATCCAAACAGGTTGATTAAAAATAGTTTTTTCTTTTACAAAGGAGGATTGGTGGCAGCAGACTACCTCAAACAGCTGGAGGGAGAAGGCAGGAGAATGAGGTTGAGAAACATGTCAGCCATGATCGAATGCTGGAGAGACTTGATGGCCTTACAACAGCTAAAGGGGCACTGTCTTCACAGTGATGGAGAATGTTTGTTCCTATTTAAAATTTGGGATATTTTGATATAATTTGATGTCCTTTGTATAGTCACAGTTGTAAACAGATGTGGACATTAGCACATTACATTGTATGGTCAAGTTTCCCTAAGTTATGTCAGAAATAGCAAGTTTGATTATTGTTCCACTATGTATTGTTTATTTACCATAAAATAAAAGCCAGTTAACTGCTGCGCTAGCTGAGCATCAATGAGGGAACAGTGGTAAAAACTGGATTTAGAATTCCCGATGCTCTAATTTGAAGTGGCCATTCTATTCTTCCCCCCACCCCCAACACTCCCGACACTCTGCCCTGTCCCTTCCAACCCCGTAACCCTGTGCCGACCAAGCAAATGCAGAGCTTTCTCAAGTCATGGCATCTTGAACAGAGAGGTCATAAGGAAACCAATCATATTTCACATCCCTTGACAAGGTTTCCCAGCCAATTTTTGCAGCTTTTCTTTTTGACAGTCTGTATCCTTTGAGAAAGGGGTTGTTGGCTCTCTGCACATTAGTAGGAGCAGTGTTTGGTTAGTGCGCTGTGGGAAATGCACAGTATATGTCTCAAATCCTCTGATGATGACATTTTTTGGTCAAGAACTTGGTGTGCTTTTGCAGAAATAAAAAAAAACCTCCCACGCTCCAATCTGGTTTTAATTTATTTCCATACTCTCCTTGATCCCACCTCCCCTGAACCCTTTTGCCTTCATGTGGTGGTTATTGGCCTTTGAAGATAAATGATGTGATTGACAGACATGAAAACCCAATTAAATATTTTCCTGATACGTCATTCTGTCGTAAGTTGTGCCTTTTTCTCTTTAAGTCACTCTGCTCTGCAATTTAAGTGACTGAGTGGGAACACCAACCATATGTACTTAGATAGTTCTTTGTACGAATGTTGTATCCATGGACTTTAGATCTGCATCTTTATAGCTTCATGGATGGCACCTGTCACATGTTGGGTGTTTGTACAGCATTCCTCAGGGTGCTATTATTAATATCTCAATCACATTGTTAAATTTGTTAATGTCTGTATTTGAGTGGCTATAAGTTATCTGTACATATGGTATATAACATAGCAGCAACTATATCTCTGGATGGTGGAAGGAGCTGTAAGACTGAGTAGTTAATAAACTATAGCTACAGAGGAAGCTATCTTAGGTTTCTGTCTCTCAGACTGACTTGGACATGATTTGACAGTTCTATCGCTCTACACCAAGTCCATTAAATTGTTATTTTTACTTTGTCAAAGAATAACTCTTTGCTTGCCCTTACTAAGTACTGCAAACTCTTTATTAACATTCTAACATGCAGAATTCCGACTGCAACCTCTTAGTACAGTCTTTCTATTCTTCTCTGCTTCACATCCTGGGAGCATGCATCACTACAAAAAATCATCATTAATTCCCTGTTGTAACACACATGGTGCCCTTAGTTCAGTACAGTGCTTCACAGGATGGTGATTAAAATCATAAGGCAACACCACCTGCTTAACAGGATATGAGGGCAGCCAGTTGCAACATGGTGGTCAAAGGAAGAAGGTTTGCAATAAAAAGATGGCAAGGTTAAGGATGGGATTCCAGGTTTTAGGTCCTAATCTTCTGAAGGCGTGACAACCAATGATGGAGTATTGAAAATAGGAGTTGAGTAAAGGGCAAATGTTGCAGAGTGCAGAGATCAGCTCACCTGAAATCCTTGTCGCCTCAATACCTTTGTTCCCAAAACATCTGACTATTCTGCCCATATTCCACCCTCCATAAATGTGGGCTCAACCAAAACTCTGCTGACCATATTGTAATGGACATCAAGTCCCAGTCTTCCTTGACTCACTGTGATCTTACACTGATTCCTGGTTAAATAATGCCTCGATTCTAACATTCTCATCCTTATCTTCAAATCCCTCCATGACCTCAGTCCTCCCTATCTCTGTAACCTCCTTGGGGAGGCGATGGCCTACTGGTATTATTGCTAGAATGTTAATCCAGAGACCCAGATAATGTTCTGGGGACCTGGGTTTGAATCCTGCCACAGCAGGTGATGGAATTTGAATTCAATAAACATATCTGGAATTAAGAATCTAATGATGACCCTGAATCTATTGACAATTGTTGGGAAAATTCCATCTGGTTCACTAATACCCTTTAGGGAAGGAAACTGCCATCCTTACCTGGTCTGGCCTACATGTGACTCCAGACCCACAACACTGTGGTTGAATCTGAACTGCCTTCTGGGTAATTAGGGATGGGCAATAAATGCTGCCTAGCTGGCGATGCCATCATCCCGTGAATGAATGAAAAAAAAATGTAGCCCTCAGAGATTATTCTGATTAGATCCTGGATGATGTTTGACCCTTACTGATCTCCTTAATACATTGTATTCACCTTTTGAGCTGAATCCTCAACGTCTTGAAATGTCTCTTTTGTCATACAGTGTGCTGGAAATTCTCTAATAATGTTCCTTTAGCAGGGCCTGTTCTTTGCTTTCAAAGTAAAGGTGCTGTTAACTTACAATATTTCCACTGTGTCCCAACAGGCCACACTTCACAGAATTCAGCTTCCATTGCTGAACATTTGTGGTTTTTGTTTGGAGCCACCCACTATATAACCATATACAGACCACAATGTTCATTCCTGCTCTTTTGACATTCCGGTGAGCTTTTGACACACTGACAATTCCATCTTGGATTCAACTGTGTCAGGAGAATGCCAAGTCTCCCCTCTCAGCACTGTGTGATTTTGGGCCCTAATTTCCGCTTTGTAACAAGTTGGATTACTTCTGCCAACATTGAACCTAGACTGATGAAAATCTGACAGCTTCTCATTCCTTGCATCAATTACTGTACAATCTCTGCTTAATTCATCCTTCAAAGCTCCATACCAGCAGCATCAGGCCAAATGATATAAATCCATGAGAACAGGTTCTATCAGTTCTCTCAAATAGAGTTGTAGAGTCATACAGCAAGAGACAGACCCTTTGGTGTAACCAGTCCATGTCAACCCTGTTTCCAAACTAAACTAGTCCCACCTATCTGTGCTTGGCCCATATCCCTCCTAACCTTTCTTATTCATGAACTTACCCAAATGTCTTTTAAATATTGTCCCTATTTTCTCTGGCAGTTCATTCCGCACACGAACCACTCTCTGTGTAAAAAAGTTGCCCCTCATGTCCTTTTTCAAATCTTTCTCCTCTCACCTTAAACATATGTCCTCTCGTTTTGAACTCTCCTACCCGATGGGAAAAGACACTTGTCATTCACTTTATCTATGCCCCTCATGATTTTGTAAACCCCTATAAGGGGTTAACTTCCTACACTCCAGTGAAAAAAGTCCCAGCCTTTCCAGTCTATTTTTATAACTCAAACCCTCCAGTCCCAGCAACATCCTTTTGAACCCTCACCAACTTAATAATATCCTTTCTATAACAGGGCAACCAGAACTGCACACAGTATTCCAGAAGAGGCCTCACCAAAGTCCTGTACAACCTTAACATGACGTCCCAACTCCTATACTCAAAGGTCTGGGCATTGAAGGCAAGCGTGCTAAATGCCTTCTTAACCATCCTGTCCACCTGTGATGCAAATTTCAAAGAATTAGGCACCTAACCATGAGGTCTCTCAACTCTACAACACCAACTAAGGCCCTACCATTCATTGTATAAATTCTGCCCTTGTTTGTTTTACCAAAGTGCAATAGCTCACATTTATCCAAATTAAACTCCATCTGCCACTCCTCAGCCCATTGACCCAATTGATCAATATCTGTTTGTAACTTTCACTGTTTGTTTTCCCACCAATTTCGTGTCATCTGCAAACTTACTAATTAAATCTTACCCATTTTATCATGAAAATTCTTTTGGAGCTAAAGTACACATCAAATGCTTTACTTAATGCATTATAATCTATAGTGTAATCTTCTATGCTTTGCCTTACCAGACGAGTACAGTTGAAAATTATACAGTGAATGGTAGAACCGTGAGGAGTATTGATATGCAGAGGGATTTGGGTGTGCAGACCCACAGATCACTGAAGGTGGCAGCATAGGTAGATAAGGGAGTAAAAAAGGCTTATGGCATGTTTGCCTTCATTGGAAGGGACATTGAGTATAAGGTTAGGCAAGTTATGCTGCAGCTTTATAGAACTTTAGTTAGGCCATACTTGAAATATTGTGTACAGTTCTGGTCACCACACTTCCAGAAGGATGTGGATACTTTGGAGAGGGTACAGAAAATGTTCCCCAGGATATTGCCTGGTATGGGGAATTTTAGCTATGAAGGAATGTTGGATAGTCTGGGTTTGTTTTCACTGGAATGCAGGAGGTTGAGGAGTGACCTGATAGAAGTTTATAAGATTGTGAATGGTATGGATAGACTGGAAAGTCTAAGCTTTTTCCCAGGGTGCAGGGGTCAGTTACGAGGGGACACAGGTTCAAGTTGCGAGGGGGCAGTTTAAAAGAGATATGCAAGGCAAGTTTTTCACACAAAGGGTGGTGAGTGCCTGGAAAATGCTGCCAGAGGAGGTGGTGGAAGCAGAGACAATAGCAACATTCAAGAAGCACCTGGACAAATACATGAGTAGGAAGGGAATATAGGCTATACAGATCCTGTAAGTGAGGACAGTTTTATTATGGAAGAGTAAAATATGTCAGCGCAGGCTTAGAGGGCCGAAGGGCCTGTTCCTGGGCTGTATTATTCTTTGCTCTTCTGTGTTATCAAATGTTTGAGGAAACTTGGATGTTGCAAGGGTTGGGGGGGTGGGTTGTGTTATAGGAAGAGGCTGAAAAGGCTGGGGCTATTTTCCCTGGAATGTCAGAGGATGAGGGGTGACCTTATAGAGGTTTATAAAATCATGAGGGGCATGGATGGGGTGATTAGCCAACGTCTTTTCCCTGGGGTGGGGGACTACAGGACATAGGTTTAAGGTGAGGAAGGAAAAATTTAAAAGGGACCTGATGGGCAACATTTTCATGGGGTGGTGCATGTATGGAATGAGCTGCCAGAGGAAGTGGTGGAGGTTGGTACAATTGCAACATTTAAAAGACATCTGGATGATACATGAATAGGAAGGGTTTAGAGGGATATGGGCCAAATACTGGCATATGGGACTAGATTAATTTAGGATATCTGGTCGGCATGGATGAGTTGGAACAAAGGGTCTGTTTCCGTGCTGCACAACTCTATGACTCTAAATGGTGAGACCTTATTTGGAGCTGCCATCCCTACTGACTATCGTACCTGACTGACTTGGGTTTTTCCTTCTCTCTGTCAAAGTGTTCTGATTCTGTGTTTCAGAAGTTTGCAGGTTAGTGGCTAAGCTTCAAAGTATTTCAAGGTTCTTTCTCCCCGCCCACTCTTCCTGCCCTTGTAGCCCAGTAATCTTTCCCCGCCTTTTGGTATCCTCCCTCTTTTTACATAGCTGCATTTTCGACACCTTCCGAGGTGTTGTCCTGCCTTTGGAGACTCCCCTTTTCAACAGTGTTCCCAGGATTCTGTTCTGATCCTGAATCTCGAGGTTTTATTCCCTCGCTGCCATTACACTAGATTTTGTGTTTTAAACCAACTGTGCCACCTACTTGCGTGGTAGTGGCCTCCCAGAGCGAAAGCAAAGTGTTGCTTCGTCGTTCGATATGAATGAACCGCACAGCTTAGAGTAAACGTCAATCATGAGGTTAAAAACTAAAATAATATTTAAAATAATAAGCAGAGTCGGCAACTCTAAGCCCATTGTGACCATGGCGACCCAATAATGTACCAACCAGAGTCG